GGAGGACAGACACATCTGATACCAGCTAGTTTTCCTTACTAATAAAGTTCCCTTAAAATATTTGTATTGTAGCTCATCATGTTCATTAAAAATATCCTGGGTTTTTTTCCCCCACATTTGTAGGACTGACTCAGTTTCAAATACGTCCACACAGCAAAGCCATAGATTTATGCCATACTAATACTGAGCCCAAATAAAGGGGTAATTTCCTGTTTAGCCCTTTGACTCTACTTTACAGTTGCTATGGTTTTTTTTTAACAAAGGTGGAGTATTGTATACATTTGTACTATTTCAGCACATAGTACGAATAAAACTTAAAAAATTTTAAGTCAGCTTATGTTTTTGATCACCTGTAATACTTTGTATCAGTGAAATCACAGTGAGATGTTTGCAGAGCTAGTTACAAGCTAAATTTTGTGCCTAACTTACCTTGAAAGTACATTAACTCTTAAGGGTTTTTAAGTATATCTTTGATTGTAAACCCTATACAATACAACCAGTAGTGCTCATTCTTTACAGTTTTGCTATCTGATGTTTAACCTATGTGTATAATGTGTTTGCTTTAATATATATCTTTTTTTCAACAGTAAACTTCTTACAAAATAAAAAGGAAAATGTACTTGTTTAAAAACAAAGTTGTTCAGAGCTTACTCTAATGCACTGTTTGTCCTATAGGCTTTCTCTTCCTTAAACCCTGTTTCAAAAGCTAGAGTGAGAAAAAGTAGCTCCTCCTCCTATTTTACTAAAATATTATCACTTTTGCTGGCATAATCCACCTGACAGTGAGTCAAGGATATTCTGCATGCCAGCAGATACACCTGAAGTGTCATGGCACATAACTTTGGTGACAGCCAGCAAACTGAGCTTTTCACAATTCTCACTTCTAGGTACACCTGTATCTTCCAGTGATTATGTCTAGGGAGATGATCATGATGTAGTGTAAGCTGGTAAGGTTTGCCTTCTATTGTTTCTCTATAGGGCTTCAATCACAGGTGGTCCACTTCATGTATCACTTAGATGTGCCTCATCGCAGAAAAATGGGCATCGCATACTTGTCATGATAAAAGGATTTTGAAGGGTTGTTGTTTAATCCTTAAACCATAATTGTAATGTGTTCCACAAAATAATCTCATTCTGCAGCCTTCTGGCCTGAGATACTGACTCTTTCTTTCATACAGCATCAAAGAGAGGACAAGGCATTATGCAGCAACAGGATGCCACTTACTGCTCTGGAGGTAAGACACAAACCAAGTCTCAAATCCTGATGATAAGCAGAAAGCAGCAAGACAGCCCTGAATCACTACACAGGCAAATTCTTATAGTTCCTCTGAGGGATTTAACTCCCCCATCACATTCAAAGTCTGTGAAGGCTGATCTGATTCGTCTTTCAACATTTGAAGGCAAACTCCTTCGTGGCTAGACCTTCACCCTGACATTCATGATCCTGCAACGAGCAGGACTTGGGTGTTGGGTACGTTGCTCTAATTGGTTTCTTAGTAGAAAAAGGTCCTGTGAAGTAACAACACGTGCCTGACAGTCTGAGCACACCTCAGACCTTTGTCAGAGGGCAAAAGTTTAAAGAAAAGGAAGAAGGCCTTGCAGGGACAGACCCAAGGCAATTGCTTCAACTGAAGAAAAGGATGCCAAGTCAATGCATTACTCTAAACCAGAAAAGTAGGGAGAGGCTTCTAATATAGATTATATCCAGCACTCTTAGTCAACCACATAACAAAAAACAAATCCGTAACCAACTTTTGTCACTTCAGTGTGGTCATCGTAAAAAATACTTGCCATACATTTCCAGTAGGTTAGACTGTTCTTTCCCTGCAACCTGTCGTTAAATTCAAAATTACAAAGGAGTGCTAAATCAACAATCTGCTTCTACTTTACATGAATTTGTGTACAATTAAAGGTTAAAAACTAATTTTGTGAGAAATCAAGTTTATCTTACAAATAGAAATAGCCAACAAACTGCAGAATGATGATTTGATGCGTCATCTCAACCATGAGCAGTTGCAGCCACCAAGTTTTCAGCAGCAAGACTAATCTATATTTGATGGCTGATTCCAGCAAGGAATGAACTGCTAAATGCCAAGCATCCCTAAGGTCTCATTGATCTTTTTTTTATTTACTGCGTGCTGTCAAACAAGATATACCCCTTGATTACTGTGTTACACTGCACTAATACTGTGGTCATGCCCTAAAATCAGTGCCACTGCCAAAACCAGAAAAGAGTGAATTTGGTTCATATATTGATATGGAAAAAATGTGTATGGTGTAATTAGCCAGTTAATTTCTATAAGCCTGCATGGGTCAAATATTCACTAGTACAGATGCTGTCAATCAGCCGGTAAAATGCATGTAAAAGAGAAGGCAAGTTTTTAATTTAAGTGTCTAAATGTAAAGAGGTTTTTTTTTTCCTATGAAAAGCTTCAATGGATGTCAAACTTTCTTAAATAGAACAGGGTGCAAAGAGGAGGGAGCCAGGCTCTCTTCAGGGTTGCCCAGCGACACGACCAGAGACAACGGGCACACACTGAGACACCAGAGTTTCCCTCTGTAGGTCAGGAAACTGTAGTCATGTGCAAGTGACCAACACTAGAACACAGGTCACTCAGAGAGGTGGTGGAGTCTCCATCCTTGGAGACATTCCGAAGTCCCATGGACATGGTCCTGCTCTAGGAGGCCCTGCTTGGGCAGGGGGCCAGGTGGACTGCAGAGGTCCCTGCCAACCTCAGCCCTTCCGCGTTCTGTGACACTCCCTTAGTTGTTTAGAAAATTAGTTAGGAAGAACCCATGGAAATTAGAAGCATCGAGGTAGTGACTCCAAGTACCCACCAGATGGCAGGAAACAGTCGAGGCCAGGCCTTCACAAGCTTTTAATGACAAACTGCGGGATTCCAGCGTTTACAAAGGACGTGAATGCTGTTTGCCAAGGAGGTGGGGAATTCTCCCCTCTAAAAGTCACTGTAAAAACAATATTACTTTGATCTTGAAGTTATTATCTTGGTAAAAGGTAAAGGTTTGAGTGGCATGAACAAGGAAGAATTAAAAATAACTACTTGTTACTAATTATTAAATTGATCTATTCGGTTGTTTTTCCCTTTTTTTTTAAACACTGCTAAGCATATCTCCATTAAAAAAAAACATGATTGAAAATAAAAGTAATACTTAACAGAGCCATTGAAGATAAAGGAGTAAGTAATTTCAAATCTGTGCTTGAAAACCAGAAATCTTTTCCATGTGCTAGAGAATTAGGCACTTGCTAAGGCCGTAGTTATTCTGCAGACAAATCACTTTTTTTCTTACTCTGTCCTGAATTTTCAACGTATCTGGATCTGCAGGAGTTCCTTCGATGTTACTGCACTATGTGATCATCTCCCTGTGCCTCACATATCTTTCCTAGAGATCAAACTATTTGTCCATTTGGAATGCTTCAGGGGTTCAATTCAGTGTGCACCCTTAGTGCACTCTCCTGATGTGCTGTTCAACTGGGATCCTTCTAAAATGTGGAAGTTTCCAGACAAATGGAGGTAAGGTTCAGTCCATTACACGAAATGATAATAAGCACAGCAGTTACCAAGAACATACAAAGTGGATTCAGGAGGTGATTTCGGCCCAACTGCTGTGAAAATATTGCCCAGAAATAACTGCTGCTCTCTGAAGATGCCTATAACCAGGCCCCTGACTTATGATAAAATCCCCCTCTTATTACATAACAATCATAAATAATGATCCCCAAGGAATGTTCTGACTACCAGAAGACAAGAACCTGCTCTGTCTTTATAGTTGAAATAACCCTGAAAAAACTTTTTGTGTGCCAGAAGTTTTGTGGGAGAGAGCATTCCCTACTCCACCACCAAAACTCAGTGGTGACTTCCTAAGTTTAGCCCTTCTTCCCTAGGTCTTGCTGCATGGTGAGGACCTTACCTAATCACCGCTGACCACCAAAGACTTACTCTCCAAAGCCATAGTCCTGCTGCTGCTTCAACAGAGGCACCACCATATTTCTTTCCTCCCTGGGAAGAGAAGGGAATGTGACAAAGAGGGAATTAGGTAACCAGTAAGGCTTCCCAGGTTCTGAGTAAGGCTTTACGTTTCTGAGTAAAGCTGTTTTGTTGTTACTCTTCCTTCAAACAAGGCCAAGGTAAAAGGCAAATAAAGGTGTTTAAGCACAACTCCTAAACCAGACAGTACTAATAAACAGGCAACCACACAAAAAACTCGTGTACCCTAAGATAAAAGTGGAAAAGTTTCTTTTTGTTTTTTTTTTCCTCTAGCTGATTTGCTCTGACCTTTTTATCAACTGTGGCCACCAGGATTCTGTTTCTTCTGTATTTCACTTGAAGTTGCATCTATTAGAAAGAAGTTGCTTCAGTCAACTGTGTAAGGCTTTAGAGCCAATATCTCCTTCAAGTTCCTTAGATGGATGAGACTGATCAGTTTCAGAGTGAAAGGCTGAATTAATTTAATTTGGGAGAAAGTTGTACCATTTTCCACACTAAACATATAACATTTTACATTATATTTATGTAAATGCATGCATATGTTTTTTGGCTCAAGTTTTATGTTCTGTATCTGGCTGCTTGCCCCCACAAGGGGGAAGGTTCTAACTCTTTGGTGACTCTGTATAGTTTCAGTGATGAAGAATTTCTTTAACCATCATTTACATTTAATTTCACTCTGTACATGAACATAAATACTTGATACAAATGTCTAAATAGCATGAATTACTGTAGCTGCTGGGCCTAACAATAATTAACCACTTTGCAATGACAAGAGCTTGTTGTTGATTAATGTCCAACGCTCATCCAAGGACTCTTCAGAAGAGCTCCTATTATTAGAATATTTCAGCATGATGCAGGAGATGTGATCTGTTATCCCCTGAGCAAAGTAAAGAACTGAACTTCAATGCTTCAGCAATTCCTCAATTTTAAAAGTGGTTTAAAACCTTTGAAAACAAAATGCTGGAAGGCATATAAAAAATGAGCAAAGGTACAATGTCTGTAGCTCTGTACAACAGCCAGGTTTACAGCACGCCAGTGTTTGATTACCTCCTACTGACCATGAAGGACTCCCCACTCAAGAGTGGCTGATCAGGTTTTTCAGCATTACCTTAAGGTGAGATTCCAGATTCCTCTTAAACCTTAACTATTATGATACTTTTATGATTATGATATTATGATAAGCTTTTAGGTGCTTATCTCCTTCTTTTGATCTAGTTCAGAACATTTCCTCTTGCCTGAATCTCATTTTTAGGGAAGAGGGTATTTAACTGCCAAGGCATCACACTACTTACTTTCATCACCTGGTACTATGAGCTGCCCACCCACAAGAGAAAGCAAAGCAGCAAGAAATCGGTGCTGCAGAAGGCTATTAAATACTGCCTTGTGTGGCAATCTGACACAGCAATGAAACAAGACCCTCTGTCATAAAAAGCCTAAGCTGTGAGTTTCTCACTACTGGCAAGCCCTGTTGTCACAGCATCCCCGTCATATGTGTCCCAGAATAGAAAATTCTGAATGCTTGCAGAATTTGTAGGTCAGTTTTGAGGGTTTTTTGTTGTTTTTTTTTTTTTTTTGTAAGCAGAAGAATGCAAAACTATTAACTGAAAAATTTGGGCATGAGGAAACATGACATTGTTACCTGTTAGGCCCCTGCTCTCTACTGTCAGTGATTCTGTTTCACCTTGAATATCCAGAATAATCTCATAGTGAGTTCTAACTATGGTTATGCCTGTGTAATGCTGCTGCTGGTGAGCCTAAAATTTACATGTGACTGGCAGCATTATATGAAGTCTCTGAGATCTTGTAATTGATCTGGCTTTCAAAACCTATGGCTACAGAGACAAAAAAAACCCAAAAAACCAAACCAACAACAAAAAAAATAACCAAAAACCACCAAACCACAGCAATCCAAACCAACCAAACAAACAAAACAAAAAAAACTCCAACAAAACAAACCAAAACTTGTTACATTACATTTATTATCAGTTTTCCAAGACAGTTTTTCTATTAGGAATTAATAGATGGTTTAAAACCATGTTTTCCCCTATATACTTGTCTGTCTTCCCTCCTTTCCTCCTTCCTAATCATGCTAAAACTTGCCGTTTCCCTAAACATTTACCCATATTGATTTCACCAAGGTCTATGTTACAAAACATGGCAGTGTAATTAAAAACATAGTGACATAGTGAGTGCCAGCACCTTACATAACTGCATAATATGGTGTGGGTCATTATTTGATAATCACTTTAGCAATTCACCTCAGCTTATTTGTATTAGAGGCTCACTGCAGAGAGACTTCTGGGACTGAAAGAGTGGAAATTTCTGTTAGATACACGGGAAAAATTCTTTACTGTGAGGATGGTGAGGCAGTGGAATAGATTGCCTAGAGAAGCGGTGGATGCCCCATCCCTGGCAGATTGGATGGGGTTTGGAGCCACCTGGGCTAGTGGCAGCTGTCCCTGCCCATGGGCAGGGATCTTTAAGGTCCATTCCAAACCAGGCCATTCTATCATTCTATGGTTTTATGAAATTACTTAATTTTTTAAAAATTGTTGAGGTTAAATGGGAAAATAGTTCAACAGGGAGAGGGAGAAACTGCTGCTTTTGTTCAGTTGTGGCATTTGCTGTCTTCAACATGGGAAACATTCCAGGTTCACGGGATGTATTACTTGCTAATTCAGTATTGAGCTATGTTAACATCTCTGTCAGACATAACTCCTGGTCTAGTTGAGATGCTTAATAGAACACAGAAACCTTAAAGACTGAAAGTTAGCTTGAAGAACTGTGTTTAAACCTGCTGCTGGTTCTTTGTTCAGCGTTTGAGGGGAGCAAGTCCTATGAGGAGCTGCTGAGGGAGCTGAGGGTGTTTAACGTGGAGGAGGTTCAGGGGGGACCTTATCGCTCTCGGTAAGTACCTGAAAGGAGGGTGTAGCCAGGTGCCTCTTCTCCGGAGAGTTTCAGGTTGGACATTAGGACGAAATTCTTCACAGAAAGGGTGATCAGACATTGGAATGGGCTGCCCAGGCAGGTGGGGGAGTCACGGAGCCTGCAGGTGTCTAAGGAAAGCCTGGAGGTGGCACTCAGTGCCATGGTCTGGCTGATGTTCAGGTGATGTTCAGTCACAGGTTGGACTCGATTACAGAGGTCTTTTCCAAAATAAACGATTCTGTTGATTGTGGGGGTTTTGTTCTAGGCGATTTCGTAGGTTGGTTTTGGGGGCTTGCTTGCTTTTTTTTCTGGGTAGAGTTTGGTTTTGTTTTTGTTTTCAGAGGACGAACATGATATGTGATGGGGGAAAAGATGAAAAGGGAGAGATAGAGGAGGAAAAAAAACCCTCACAACATTAATACAAGAAAACAAAACCGCAGAACCTGCGCACCGAGAGCAGCTCTAGAGGCCGCTTCACTCGCCCACCAGGGGCAGCCGCCTCTGCCTCAGCGCTGGGCGATACCATCTCGTGGCGGGGGCGGGGGGAAAGCCTGTTTCTCCTTTGGCGTGGTGCTCTCCCGTCAGGCTTTTCCCCCCCCACTCCGCCTCGATAAGTGGGAGAGGCGAGGTGCATCCCCGGCGCACGCGTGATGAACGCTCAGTACCCTCCGCGATGGAGGAGGTGGCGGAGCGCGGACGAGCTGGCGCTGGGGCGGCGGCGATGGCGGAGGGCGGTAGCGCCGCCGGAGAGGAGGCATCCAACGCCAATGCCGCGTCCTCGCCGTCGCCCTGCTCCCCTCCGGAGGGCGGCGGGACTAAGCAGTTGAGCGCGGCGGAGTACGCGCGGCGCGTACACCAGTGGCTGTGGGACTCGTACTGCGGGTACTTGGGCTGGCAGGGCTACCCACCTGCCTTCTTCGCCGCCGCCGCCGCTGCCGCCGCCGCGCAGCCGCCCCCGCCTGCCGCCGCTGCCTACTACAGCCCCTTCTACCTCTTCGCTCCGCCACCGGCACACACGGCCCCTGTCGGGACGGGGCCCCGCGCCCCCGCCGCTGCCACCCCAGCCTGGCCGGGAGCGGCGGGCGCGGTGTCCCCCCTGCCCAGGGCGGCCTCCGGCAGCACCGCCGGCACCAGCGGTAGCGGCGCCTCCAGGGACACGGGGAGGCCGGCGGGTGAGTGGGGCCGGGGCTGGGCCGCTCGGCCTGGGGAGGAAGAGGAGCCTGATGAGAGGCGCAGCTCCGGGAAACGGGATCTGGAGAGGGAAGGGAAGCTGGGGGTGTGCGACGTTGGGAGTCGCTGCGCTTCCGTTGGCTGCGGCGCCGGGCATGTGGCTGTGCCGTGTGACACGGTGACAGCCCTCATGCCGAGGTTGTAAGCCCAGAACTTGGTCGATAAACAAGTTTGAACGCAGAGTGACAGCCCTAATACCGAGGGTGTAAATGCAGAACCTGGTGCATAAGTAGGTTGGGAGAATTGACTTGCATATACAGCTTACAGTGTCAGAGTTTGTAAAGATGTTTTCCTGCATACGAAGGAGTTTGTTTTTTTTTTTCCCCAGTGTACCTTATTCTTGTGATCACAGGCTTGTAGTGCATCTAGCTTTATAAGTAGACCGTTTGGATGATGAAATCTAAAATAACTTCACCTGTTTTAGTGAGTTCTTGGTGCTCAAATAATTTCGTCAAATCGAAGCAGGAAAGTGAAAACATACTGACATTGAACAAGCTTAGGCAGTGGGACCCGAGATAAACAAACGTCTGTTGCAGCTGTAAACATTGAAGGCAGTGCACAGCAGCCCTTCTGTTTGTATTTGTTCAGGAGTAAAGCAAAGTCACTCTGATCACATCACAGGTAAAACCTGGAGCAGCAACAAGTCCTCACAAGTCGAGGAGTGCCTAGGTCACATTCCATGAATGTTCGTACCACTGTGAGCAATGGTAGAAAATTGTGGAGGAGAGCACTGCTGACGGACTTTGGAAAAAAGCCAGAGCTCGTTTCTCTCTCCAGGACAAAGTACGACATTGCTGATCTGTGACATTATTTATAAGCTTAGTGGCCATATGTGTGTGAAAGATGTTTTTTGTTCATTTTTCCTTATTTTCAAGGGAAGGGAGCCTAGCTTCTGAGCTTGCTTCTTTCTTACGTTTTTAAGCAGATGTTGCTTAAACATGGTTAGAATACAAAATAGTATTTTCTGTAATTATGCCCTGCTTCTTTTAGAGTTTGCTTATGAACTGATATTGCCAGTCATTAAAGGGACAAAGGCTAGGCTGAAACGCTTCTTGGATTTTTACCTGTTTTTTCAGGAACTAATTCCATATGCTAAAGGTAATTTAGGGCATGAATGGCATTTCATGCTGCTGAACATGGTTATTCTGAATGTTGCATACTATTGCAACACGCTTGGCCTTCTTAAGGGGACTAGGTATGTGGTGCAGTGATACAATACAGTTATAAACAAGGACTGTGGTGCTGATGTTTTGGCTTCAGATCGTAGATGGATATATCTGGAACAGCTAAAGTGATTATGGCTCCTTCTCCCCTGCTGTAGATTATTGCCCACACAGCAGGCGAGGCAGGGCAGGTCATGTATCTGTCCCTGTGCCAATGCAGTTTTACAGCCCGTGTGCTTATGTAAGCTGAAATAAGTGACAGCTTATGTTAATGTTGCAGATTTTAAACTGGGATGTAAAAAAGTGGGATTGTTAATTCTGCCTCTGCTGCTTCAGTCTGTTTGCAGGTGCGTGCCAGAGCAGCAATACGGGTACCTGGGTAGTGGCAGGCTCTTTGTGGACAGTCACCATGATTTAAAACACTTCTTCCTCTGGTCCCTCCCCTGCCTTACTGCAGGAGATTATTGTTCATCCACTGGGAACAGTAGGGCAAAAGGTGCATCCAAGCCCCAGCTGCCCCGTGGCTGACTGGTGTTAAACCCCTGTTAAGCACTATGTGGATGCAAGATCCTAGACGTTGAGCTGGATGGATGTTGCATTTGGCTGTCCTTGCTAAATAAATAGTAACCCTTGGCAAAAGAGTGGATTTCTGATATGAGGAACATCTTGAATCGCTGCAGTGTAAATCTGCCAGAGTCTAAGGGTTGCCAAGGTTTCTTAATGTGATGGAGTTAAACATAATTTGAATACTTATTTTCCTAGCTCCATGTAGCTTCTTTTTTATGCAGTCATTTAATTTAATTTATTCAATGGTGAATAAATCAGTCTCTGCCACCAACTTCAACAAATGTGCTGTTTTTAACAGAGCAAATGAAAGCTTTCACTTAGTGCTGTGTTCTCAAGCCAGGACTGGAAGGCTGGCTATGTTCCCTCCTGCCTCAGTTGAAGGATCTCTAATTAGAATTTAACAGACAACTTGGACAGGCTTTGACAATGCCAGTGGAATCCATTTTAGTGTAATACATGTTGTGGTTTGACACTGGCCCAGCTCCAGGCACCCACTGAGTCGCTTGCTCACCCTCCCCTGCCACAGCTGGGCAAAGGAGGGAAAAAGAAAAAAAAAGTTAACAAAGGCTTCATGAGTGAGATAAGGACTAGGAGAAATATTTCAAGGGCAAAACAGGCTCAACTTTAGTTGCAAAGTGAATTTTATTACTAGCAGAATCAGAGGAGGATAATGAGAAATAAAATAAGCCCGTAAAACAGTTTCCCCCCAGCCCCTCCCTCCTTCCCACCGACAGTGCAGGGAAGACCGGGCGTGGGGGTTTTGGTCAGTTCATCACCGAGATTTTCTTCCATTGCTCTGGAAGAGCAGTCCTTCCCCTGTGAGGCCATGGGGTGCCCCCCATGGGAGACAATTCTCCATGAAATTCTCCAGCGTGGTTCCACTCTGATGAACAGCAGCCAAACCCCGCCTGCTGAAGTGTGAGTTCCCCCATGGGCACGCAGTCCTCCCAAAACTGCTGTGGTGTGGGTCTCTCTCTTTCCATGGGGTGCTGTTCTTCAAGGACAAGCTGCTCCAGCCTGGAAGCAGGGACCCCCTCTGTCCACCAGGTCTCCAGTGGGGTCACAGCCTCCCCCAGGCATCCACCCTCTCCAGCGTGGGCACCTCCCCCACGCGCTGTGGCTGGATTTTGCATTCCCTGTGGATCCCCGTGGGCTGCAGAGGCACAGCTGCTTCACCATGGTCTCACCACAGCCTGCAGAGGAATCTCGGCTCTGGCACCTGGAGGACCTCCTGCCCTTCCTTCTCCACCTTGACTGATCTCCACCTTCTCCTTCTCTGACCTTAGTGTCACCATGTTGTCTCCCCCATGTATTCTCACCTGCTTCTCTTCTCTGACTAGAAGCAAAACCTGTGACTTCGTTTTGATTTCCTTCTTAAATATGTTTTCAGAGAGGTGTTATCAGCCTCCCTCAGTGGGCCCAGTTTCGGCTGGCACCGTGTCCATCTTTAGAGCCATCAGCCATTGGCTCTGCTGGACATGGTAGGTGGCTTCCAGCACATTCTCACAGGACCCATCTTTGTGGCTCCCCTGCTACCTAAAGCCAGGCTACTTGTTACTTTAGATGCAGAGGAATCAGTGTAGCAGGGATGAAAAGCTGTGTAAACCCAGGTGTGTTAAATAAGAGCAGGCTCTTACCTGATCCCTGCCTGATTCTCTTTACCCCATTTAAAACTGCTGTGGGCTTTTGGCTCGGCTCTCACAGCTCACAGGGCTATGGCTGGCAGCACCAGTCTCAGCTGCTGCACTGGGAAGGCTTATGCTAAATTAAATTTTATGGTTTTTGAGACTAGAGAATGGTGTGGTTTTCTTTCCTCTTTTGTCCTTTCTCTGTGTCGTTATTCTCAGAAACAGTAACAAAAACAGTCCCTGTTTCCCACAGGTTCCATCTGGTAGTAGAAGGGCATTTCTAAATGAAGTTTTGATGTGAGTCATTGCAGGTTTCATGTGAGAGTCATGTTTGTTCTTTGGGAAATAGAGGAGTAGCTGGGTCGAGATGAAATTATTTTGCAACACTTTCTTGGAAACTTTCTAAGACACTAATGTTTTCTCTGCTTAAATCACCTGAGCAACAAAAGCTTATAAGTGACTCCTTTGTGCCCATTTGCACCTGGCAGATTAAATAGGAGAAATGTGTTATGTTTTCTGGCTGGGGGTAGAGCAGTGTGCTATGTTTTATTATAAGTAGTCTGTAGGAATGTTTATGTCAAGTATGACTTATTTTTTCATCCGTTCCTGTTTGTATTTGAGTGGAGATAAAATAGGCTGTGTTTTTACTGTGAGGGTTGGTACTTGGTATGTACACAGAAGCCTTGGTGCCGAGGAATAGAAAAGTTATGGTAGGTCTAATTTTTTTTAATCTGACCTCTCAGATTTACATAAATCTGTTATCTGAGGTTATTCTGAACAAAAGAACACAAAAACTGATGCATCTTCAATGTACTTCAGCTCTTTAGCAGGGTATGATTTTGCCTGTGATCCTAATTATGAGGGACTCAGTTCTGAAAGACTTAAAGTTTTTAAAGAACTTCAACCTGAACAATTCAGATTATTTTTTATGCATACGTTTTTAGAAGTTTTCTTGAAGAACATGTGAGCAGAGCTCTTGATTATGTTCTTGCAGAGAGGTTAATGTGGGTTGTACTTTAGATGTTAGTGTTAACTTTGTGTTAGTGCAGTAAAATCTGGGTAATGTGAACTATTTCTGTTTCAGGTCGGGAGTTCCTTATCCCTTCACTGGCACACAGGTTCATAGCAGAGATGGTGGATTTTTTTATTCTGTTCTTTATAAAGGCAATCATCATTTTAAGTATTATGCACCTCAGTGGAATAAAGTAAGTTGAACAATTTAAAGTTTTGTTACATACAGCCTTAAGCTTTTCATGCTCTTTGAGGTGTCAGGTTGTATTTATGGTATGTCTATGCATATGATATTATTAAATAACTGAGAGAAGTTGAGGAAAAGCACTACTAGGCTATCTTCCTTGTAAATACGTCCTGATTTTGGGTCAGCTGATGAAAACACTGAATTTGTACATGTCTATAGGCTCACAAACTCCCTACTAAGCAAAGATTAGACTTGTACTAGACTTGATTTATGGGGTGCGGGGGAATAGCAGGATTATTAAAAAGTCCTTTATAATTTTCACAGAAAAGGCAGACAAACTTTTAAAATGGCCTTAAAAAATGTACTAGATCTGGCTGTGATGAAGTTAATTTTCTGTATGGCATCTTCTGTGGTGCTGTGTTTTAGATTTCTGACCTAAATAATGCTACCCCCCCCCCCCAAAAAAAAAAAAATCTGATCAAGCAGATCAGATATGTATGTATTTTGAAAATACTGCCTGGTGCTAGGAGTGCTGCCTCACTGCAGGTTTCACTGGGTGTAAATTTGGTTTCTTAAAAAGTGCAGGTAAACGTTATGTATGTCAACTATACACTAGACTGAAAGATTCATCATTTCATATTTTTGTACACAGATGTAGTAGTTTACCTCAAACACTTCCCTCTTTAACTGCTTCTTTACTGTAGATACCTTATTCCTTAACTCAGTTATTCTGCTTTGAGTTGGTGTAACCAAATATTTCAGTCTGATTAAGAGATGAGATCTTGGTATAGTCGATAATTCCACTACTGTACAGACACATTTCAGAACCCAGGCTTTCTGCTCAAGAACCATCCAAATGTTGCCTGATTGTAAAGTGATACTATACAGGTAACACCTTCCAGACACCTTTACCTGCAGCTTGAAGGGGGTGTGGAAGAGGGTCAAAGTCAAAACAATAAATACATTGATGTAAATGATCGCTGGGTTTTGTTCAGATAAGCAGCAATTAAAATGTCAAACGTTCATTTCTGTTTAGTGGCCAGATCCTACCAGCTGTAACTTGACAGCTTGTGTTTCCATTTTGCCTTTAGTAGGTGGAGAATGATACCAAGTGAAGTACTGGAAAGATAAGGAATAACTATATGTATATTGCTGCTGTAAATTGGTGGAAGAGTAATTTACAGCATTTTCAATATTAATAGTTTTATGAGACAGTTGCTTACAGGGAACTTCAGAGAAATGTTCTGGGGGGTTTTCTTCTTGAGACATGGTGTGCTTGGGGTTATCCTGAATTGACATGAAAACATAGGTCCTTGCAGCCTTGAGAAAGACACTTCAGACCAAAGCTGCATTGAAGGGAAATGCAGGTTGTGCTATACTGTGTTTTTGTTTTTTTTTTTTAATTCCTGGGTTGTTTTGGGTCTTTTTCTGTCTTTAAGCCTGAATAAAGAGGAGGGAAAGTGGCACAAATATTAGATGGACTATTTTCAAGTGGGACTACACAGTTCTGTGTGAGCCTTAATTAGATGCATGAGTGCAAAATGCTTGCCTTAGTGTGTTGCAAGTATATCCATTCCAGGTATCAGATAAGGAGGTTAGATCTGTGGAGTTTATCTTATGAAAATATGCCATTAACTCCAAATGGATGCTTTGCACAGCTCTGTTAGACTAAAAACCATAAGGTTTCAATTGCTTTATGTTTAAATCCTCCTATTGCATACCAAGGTGCCTCCACATGAGTATGGTGAGCAGCAAAGAATGAGAATGAGGAACTCAGATGAGAACCCTGAGGATACAGGGCTCCTCTGATTCCTTAGAGAGACTGCTAACTTCTAAAGAATGCCCTTTTCTTTTTTCCTTGAGTGTTTGTGTAAGAAGATACTTGGAGACTTGGATGCCTTCCATTTATATCAAGTTAGATGATTATGTGCAGAATCTGTTTACCTCCCAAGAAGTGTGAGAATTTTCAGAACAGTTCTGCAGCTTACTTCCCAGGGACACCATTGTGCAAAAGTGGTAATAAAGAATGATCTTTTCTTAATGAAAAAGACAAAACAAATTTGGCAGCAACTCAGAATGAAACTGAGTGTTCTGAATTTTAATGGCTTGTTTAGTGTCAGAGAGAGCAAGGAGCTTTTGTTCTCTTATAATACCAGAACAGAGGGAGTGAATTCTGGTATTAAAGGGGTAACACTGGTATTGGGAGAAGGATGGTTTTAAAGTTCAGTTTTATTTTGTACAGGGACATCTCTAAATTTGCCATGCATTACATCATAGAAGAAATAGATGAAGATACATCCATGGAAGATTTGCAGAAAATGATGATAGTAGCTCTCATCTACAGGTTATTAGTCTGCTTTTATGAGGTAACTACTCATATACGTTAACTCTTGTAATTTATGGTTGTGAGTTGTTGAAGAAATGGTTTTAAAAAATAATGTTATCATTGGCCGATAAAGTAAATCCTCTTTACGGTATTTTGGATTATGTTGAAGCTCATGACATTCACATAGTTCTGAGGACAACCGAGTTTGTGAGACCTGTCAACAACGCAGTGGTGTGTGAAATTGAAATAACCTTTCTTTTACAGATAATCTGTATTTGGGGAGCAGGTGGAGCAACCCCAGGGAAATTCTTGCTGGGACTGCGAGTTGTGACATGTGAAACATCTGTACTTATTGCACCCAGCCGTGTGTTAGTCATTCCATCTTCTAATGTCAGTATGACAACGTAAGTGCTCTTGCATTCAGGTTAAGTGTGAAAAGCGTGTGATTGGGAAGGAAGTGCACCATTGCTTCGTTGTTGACCTTTGCAATAATTAGACTGCAACAACTATTGTCAGATTCTGTGATCAAAGAATAAAATGCTAATTATTTGGTCACATGGAGTATTTTTCAGGATAGGTGCTTAAATCTCCTCTAGAGCTCGACTTCTGTGCTGTGCAAAACTTGGGTGCTAAACCTGAAAGTTAACTACTAATGTACACAGAAAAGTGAAAGTAAGGCACTGAATATTCTGTTCTGATTTCAGGTCCACAGTACGAGCTTTGATCAAGAATTTTTCTATTGCATCATTTTTTCCTGCATTCATTACACTGCTGTTTTTCCAGCATAACAGAACAGCCTACGATATTGTAGCAGGAACTATTGTGGTCAGAAGAAATGGAGTCAGATGATACAAAAAAATGAGATTTTGGGACTGGTTCTGAACATCCCCTCCAAACCCCAGTGAATTAAAGACCTACCCCAGAACTGAAATTGAGGTGTCTGTTGGAATCTTTTGCCCTAATTAAATAGGAACTGGTTCAGAAGCTAAAGAAAACATAATGTTCCTGTATGATGCCAGCAACTACCTTCAAAGCAGTGGAGTTTTTGTAGACGCCAAAGAAGTTTGGGAGAGAAAATATGTATTAAATCCAGGAGTATTAATTAACCTCTGACTGATGAGACAAAAACTGTCTGCTTTAACTTCAAAAAGGAGCTGTTCTGTTTGTCAGTCTGTGGAAAGCAGATCCCTAGGAATACATCACCTTAAAAGAAATGTTGTTCCTGCAGTTTTGGATGTTGGCAGGTAACTAGAAAATGAAGTTCTTTTCTAGACAGTTGCCTGTCAAAGGATAAAGGGGGAAGAGACCTGCAGTATTAGACAGCAAGGCAAATGATGTTAATTAAATTGCCTGTATGCAGAAAGCAATCAGCAGGTTATCTATCAGTGTCATTTATTATTGCTTCACAGATCATACTCCCTCACCATTTAAGTATTTTCTCACATTGATGTGAAAAGTGTTTTTGCATGATTGTCTCAAGCATTGTCACTTACTTCACTTGTCCAAGCTAATGAAGAAGTGAAACAATAGCTGCTTTTTCCTCTAGGAAGGGTATGTTACACTGCAGTGTTAGTGATCTGGTGTGTGCAAATAATTCTGGAGCCATCAACAGTACAGATCATGCTGATGAAAGGTAACTTTTTGCTTCTGTTTGAAGTGAAAGCACTTGTCTATTTCTTTCATATAATGCAGAGCAGAAGTGAATGTGTTTCAGGAGCATGCAGAAAACATTAACTGAAATGTGTTATGGGTGTAAATCTGGAGAAGTACAAATACTGGTTATTTTCACTTTATCATTCTGGCTAATTGTTTGTATATTCAGATTAACTTAAATACTGAATAAAGAAACCTAATATTTTGCATGACTATATCGCCTTGATGATTCATTTATTCTTATGTTATTAGATTTCAGTAAAACGTTAACATTGCTTATATTCATTTCCTGAGATAGTAAGTCAAGAGTTTGGAACTCTTCAATTACAGTTTTTGTGCATTCCTCTGTTAGGCCTAACGTCTTCACTTGGTGGCTGAAGTTCTCACTCTGCCTTCAGTTTAGGACAGTGGCTTGGTTGACAGTAGAAATGTTTTAGAGCTTGGTTATTGCTCTTGTCTCCAGGTGTAATAACCCAATCAATAATGTGTTCATATGCTGCAATATTTTCGTTTGACAAGTGATATTCTTTTTTTATGACTGTATTGTGCATGCATTTCCATTTTCATTTGGAATTATGATTCAGGACTAGAGCTCATGCTTAACAGTTTTGCCGTCCATTACATCTCCAGAATGAGATCGCTAACTTTTTAGTTAACTACTTTTAAATATGTATTTTTGAAGTAAAGAAAAAGTTGTCTTGGCTAGAACACTGCTTTTAGAGTCCTTGCTCAGTCACACTTTTTGAATACTGCCAGGGGTAGTGATCCTACTGTTTACATGGGCAACCTCTTCCAATGCTTGACAGCCCTTTCATTAATTTTTTTTCCTAACATCCAGTCTAAACGTCCTGATACCAACACGGCCCTTTCCTTATCCTACCACTTCTTTCCTGGGATGAGAAATCAACCCCCCCACTAGCTACACCCTCCTTTCAGGCAGTTGTAGAGATTAAGGTCACCCCTGAGCCTCCTTTTCTCTAAACTGGAACACCCCCAGCTCCTCACAGGACTTGTGCTCCATTCTTTCAAAGACTTAAGCACTGAGGTCGGATATGGCAATCAGCCTGATGAAAGCTAAAGCTATCAGAACCAAATTAAAAGTCCTTTCTAAAAGGGTGAGTTTTGCCTGTTCAGAACAAGAACTTATATTCTCTTTACCAGAGCAGTGACCTAAAAATTAGGATTCAAAAGGGGGCAGATGGGGGAGGAAGGGAAAAGCGACACTGTTGGCTAAAACTTTATTACTACCACTTCAGGTATAAGGGAAGGTAATCTCTTACCCTGCAGAAAAATACCACCCCTTTCACAGCAGGTAAAGAAAACAATTACAGTGCAAGAACACATCGCCTGTCCATGGAAATGTGTATACATTGTGCTGTTGGCTGGCTTCTAGTTTGTCTCTTATGCAAGCTGCATCCCAGGTGCAGCTTGTTTCTGCTTGAAGGACAAGTGCTTGGCTTGATCTAGGGCTAAGGGGGAGAAAGTGGAAATCTGTGGCATTTTTCACATGAAGACAGGTGGAAAGAGGTACTCGCATATAATCCTTTCATGGCTACAGTGGCGTGATCTGCGTGCCTGAATAGCAGTTAGTGTGTACGTATGGCTTGAAAGTTGAGTTGCTGAGCATTTTCTGTTTCTATAAACAGTGACTGGAGCCCTACACCTGAAAGAGCAGTTGACCTTTGCCCTCCTGTCATGTCCAGCTTGTGCTTGAAAGGCATCTCACCTTACACCAGCAGCACCTGCAGGAGCAGGGAGCAGTGCTGGGATGCACGGCAGAAGTGCCAGCCAAGGCCGCAGCAGTGCCTCTGAAGACATTTACACCATTGACAGTGATGCAGGTCTCTGCCCTTCTAGCTGAGGGAAGAATTCAGGTCTGAGTCAGACTGCTGTGACTTGGTAGAAATTCACCTGCAAGTCCCCAGATGAACAAACACTTCCTCTGATTTTACTAGTATAATGCCTGTTCTCCAAGAAGTTCCCCTAACTGCTACAGAAGTGGATCCCCCACCCCCTCTTACTCATTTCCAATCTTTTCAGTTAGAACAGTGGTGAATGTTTACAACATTAGGTCGGGTTTCTTTAATAGCACTACAAAAAATTAACTGCAGTCAGCTGACACATTGATAAGCTGCTCCAAGCTTCAGCCTACAATAAAACTCCTTCCTAACAGGAGACCTCTAACTTAAGATCCTCTACAATCAGTGCAAAAAAGTAGAGGTTGAAGAAAGCACGAGACATTGCTCAGGTTGAGGGAACCACCTCTTAACAGTTACAGCTGGAGATGCCTTTACAGAGAGTTAAAATTGCCAGGTAATATTTCGCAGTTTTTATTGATGGCATTTATCCCATGGTTTAACATGTTAATTATACTGTAATAAACATGGCTTTAATATTAAACTTTTCCTTATTATCCAAAGTCACCACAGTCCATTTCAGTAAATATAAAAATATATACTTAATACTTTGTACAATACTGGTTTTTGGTCCAAACAAAAATGGATCAGAAAAGCCAATAAACTTACTTTAAGAATTCCCAATTTTAAAGATTTTCTAAATGGATTTAGGCAACTTTGAATAATGGGATTTACATAAAATCTGAGACAATACTAAACAAAAATGGCTGTAACACACAAAATTAAAATTTCAATTTCACAGATTTGTTATGCCAAAAAAGTACATAGAGAAACAAAATTGTATTTACACATTTCATAATAAAATAACAAGGCGAGACAGGTGATAAAGGGCTGTAAGAATGAAAATATAGAAATAGCATATAATTATTAAATGAAGAACTACAGATCTAACAAGTCCTTAGCATGGATCATCCTTTAATCAATCTTCCCCTATCAGAAAATTTTAGTGCACAATACACCCAAACTCACTCACTTCACACATACACCAGCACAAACTCAGCATAGAAATCATTCGTTATCAACATTCTCTACTCTATACAGCATCCCTCGCTGATATAATTACAATTTCGAGGCGTCAGTAAACGCGGATGAACGCACGTAGTGGTGCGGATGAAGAGGTATCGACAAGCCATTCACTGTGCAGGCTCTACTCAGGGCTACAGCCAGACCATGCCGAGTCAGTGAAAGAAGTAACTTGAGACTTTTGCTTGAGAACAGCCTTGTTGCCAACTTTACTTGCTACCAAAAACGTAATGGGGAAAGGGGAGGGAAGGACAGGAAAGCTATGTTTTATATTCCTTTAGGCAGATCTGACTTCTGACAAGCCAGCGTGAGGTACAATCCCAGTAACTGAACAATTCAGGGTAGCAGCTGAACATTTCAGGATAGTAGCTGAACAATTCAGTCAGGGTAGAAGCTGAACAATTCAGGATAGTAGCTGCTTCCAATGTTTTTGATGCTTTACCCAATCAGGCGTTTACTTTCTACGTCTAACTGCAGTCTTTATCTTCCGACCAGGAACTGAAGATCCAGAGGCAGAGAAAACATTTTTCCCATTAGCCCTATTAAAAGAAATTAGTAGTTCAGAGTTTAGGACAGTGTAGCTGAAAATTCAGTAGCAGCACTGAGTAGATATTCCAGAACAACTGTTTCATAGTCTTGTCTCACTAGTTACCAGCTGGCAACAAGCAGCAAATGACGAACAGGAGGAAGAGATTTCCAGAAACCAATTAAATCTCTCTTATTCAGAAGGTAAGCAGCAGCATAATGGCTGGATATGGGTTCTACCTTTCAAGAACAAGACAATCTCACGTGTGTTGTTGTGTGACATTCCTGACAGCTAGGCTCCTTTACAGATAGCGGTGCTTAGTTAGCCAGTCAGGCTAATACAAGGAAGGATGCCAAATTTAGTTTCAAACTCCAAGGTTCATCTGAACACCTCATGATTTAACAGCAGTAGAGGCTGAATACTGTCCACTGATATTACCCAAAGCTCAAGGGAAATTCTGATACGGTCTCTTACCCCACTGTAAATGTTGGAGGCTGGTTGAACGAAAATCCTGGAGTGCCAGAAGGTGGTGCAGGAGCTGCTGCAGCAGAAGGATTTGCACCAAAAGTGAATACTCCTGGGTTATTTGGAAAGCTGAAATTAGTAGTACTACTTCCAAACTGGAATACAGAACCTGGGAAGATGGGGTGGAAGCAGAAGGAAGTAAGAAAGCTGAAATCTCAGTTCATCCTTTCCAGCAAAATCCTCATGTTCTTCCCCATTTTCTTTTTACAGGTTGCTCAAGATGACAAGGTTGGCCGGGGGGTGCATGCACCAGAAGTGTCAGATTACTACAGGAACAGTTTATTGAATGAATTAATTCACACAGATTGAAGAACTTTTAAAGTAATACTGCCAACACACAGATAATTAGTTGTTAGCTGACTTCTGTGCCACCATTAAATTTATACCTGTGCATACTGAAGTTTATAATCAAGTCTTAAATTGTAAATTTATATTCAGGTAAACTGCCCTGTGTTCATGCAATGGATCTGGGAACTTCCTTTAATGTGCTAACAGCACCTCATCTGAAAAAACCCCAAACATTCCAACCATCAGAGGAAACGAATATGTAATACAGAAAATCCAGGGAGAACTTTACTTTTAAACTGCTACCTGATTAATAAAAGATCGACTGAGTAATGTGTTGTGCACTAATCTGCTTATACTAATCTATTGGTTAGTACAAAAATGCCAATTACTTTTAATGGAGGCTATTTTGTAAAACTTCTGAGGGGAAAAAAGGGTTTTCCCTTTCAGTATTTGATGTGATATCAAATAGACAGTCCGGCACTTGTTTTGGTTTTTTAATTATTACTAGCATGGAACAGGTCTTTCTTAAGTGATAAGGTTCATTCTCTGCCCCTTTCCCGTGGCACTTTATACCTCATTATTAAAAAGATCTTAATACAGTCTTAACCCATAAATGCTTAAAAAAAACCCAAACAGTTCTGACTGTATTTTATACAATGAAGCCTGTTCAAGTCCGATAACTAAAGATTTCTCAAATCAAAAAATAACAATTTTGCAGTGTGTCTGCTCTTTTGTTTTGCACAATCTTACCAGTGATTACTCCACGGTTTTCAACAGTTTCTTTTAATCATTAGGTTTCTAAAGAAAATAAAGCTCAAGATTTAGTTGTAGAGTTGCAATCTCCGTGTCTGCCAAGTCTCTTGTGGAGAAGGCTTACTGTGAAGCTAGGTGGCACATTGGTGTACCTGTGGCACATTGTGTCTCCACAGTCAGGACT